GGGGGGGGTACTTATAGTCGTGAGTTGTTGAACGAAAGAAAAACAAAAAGAGAGATTCTGCACGTAAGACTCAGCTGCAAGTCAAGCATCAACAAAGGCCCACGATCGCTTGGTGCCGCTGCATTGTTCTTATGGGAAGGTGGTGCACCAGCCAACGTAACGGCTGAATGCCACCGCGCTGCTAGTGGAGATATTAGGAGGCTCGGCGAGACACTGCTTTCGGCGGTCTCCCCGTCGATTCGCCCCCGATGGGGTAAAGAGACTTCTCGCCTTTTGCTCAAAGGCGGGAGGGACACGCTCAATGCGGCACACCCGTGATCTCTTGCAAAAAAAACATCGCACACTGCTGTAATACCCGCAATATATTCCACAGCGAGCAAGCAACCACCAACACGACCGGCGATGAAAAACTCACCGGGCTCGACCCAGCCGGCAAAGAATTTCTTCACGCCCTCCACCGATGCTAGATTCGCCGTCTTCAAGGACTTCATGTATTGCACGTCTCCGACGGGAGCCCTGTCGACGGGAGCATCCCCCGACGCGCCTGCCGCTCCCCCGCTACCCGCGCCTCTTTCTCCTCCCTTACTCTCTTCGCTCCCATCACGATCAACAGATGCGTCCGCCGCCTCCCCGCCTCCAAACTTATCCGCTGGGCTGAGCTGTGCCGCCTCTGCCTCCACCCCTACCGCTAGCCGGGCCGCGCTCGACTCTCTCCCTTCCCCTCCCTCGCCACGTCCTCTTCCTGCCGCTGCTGCTGCCGCTCCATCCGTGCTCTCGGAGCCGATTCCCTCCCCGAGGGGCATGGTGGGGGGTATCTTCTCCGGCTGTCGCCGTTGTTGTGCCGCAGGCGGCACCGAGCCCGCCGCCGCTTCTGCTCCCACCCCCGCCGATTTTGTCCGTGGCACCCCCGCCGCCGCTGTTGCCATGTTTCCGGCAGCATCGGTAGAGGTAGCAGCAGTAGCAGAGGCAGCAGGACTAGCGACAGGCGAGTTGAGGAAGGCGACCCACCGCTGGTAAACCTCCACACGCACCGGACACCGGTATTCCGGGAGCTCAGATGAGGCCAACATCCATCGGCTTACGCGACCCGATACCGAATCCATGGCCTGGAGGTGAAAGAGTAGGGGGGGGGGGGGGGGGG